CCAAGCAATCAGATATTAAGCAAGTTCATATGAACCAATTTTCTAGAACCCACATTGTGAGAAGTTAAATAACCTAATAAAGGAAAACAGTTTTCTACAAATTTGGGGTATATCTTCATTGTGGTTGGGAGTGTGGCTAAACTGGGCCAGCAGCACCGCTAAGGTGATCCTTCTGGGGTGGCGTCCTTGATGGATTAAAGTACCCTGCTCCTGCTCCTACACCTGACAGACACCTGCCTGTCCAAAGGAGATTGTAACTTAGAAGCTGCCATTAAATTATTTACTATAAAAGTATTACCCTAATTATTATATGGAGCACCTCTGTCCCTCCAGACAAACTTGACCTTACTTGAAAGAATGCAATTGAAATTTTTAAGAGCTATTTTTCAAGTTCCAACAAGTTTGAAATGCTGCAATCCGTTTAAAGGCTGGCCTGGTTACAGTGGAAGCAAGATTGTGGATTGCTGCTTTTCTTTATTGGTTAAAACTGATTTTCTCACCCACTGGCCTTACTCATACTATGATGCAAGATAACTTTGTTCCTTCACGGCGGAAAAAGATGGAGGATAAACTGGCTTGTTATGGTTTTTCTAATCAGTTTATACTGTCTTTGGGATATGCTCAGGCTAGATCAGTTCTAAAACAAAGAATATTAGATGTTGAACGACAGACGGATGTGAGCAGGATTAAGAGCCCTGTATTTGATGTAAGTACACTTAATAAGATAACTTTGAGACCTTACATCAAATACTTAGATATCTGTAATCATAGAAGAATTTTACCCTATTAAGATATAACGCCTTACCCTCAGCTATATTGGAGGCCAGATTTACCAGATCACTGAGAAAAAGTTGAATATGTCGGATGGGAACTGATGAAACATTGGAACATGTTATTTTTTATTGTAGTATATATCATAACATTAGGGAAGTTTTGATTAAGCCTATTGTTAACTCCTACCCAGGTCGTAATAGAAGGACACTTTTGTCAATTATGCTGGCAGGTGATAATCAAAAGCTGACTAGGATGGTTGCCAAATTTGGTTGGTTGGTATAGTGAGCTAGGAAAGAGATAAAGAAGTACAGATAGGCCTAGATTTTAATTTCTGTTCTTAATGTTAGTTTTACCATTTCTGTATTTTAAACTTTTTTGATTCCTATTTATAATTTTAGATGTTATTATATTTTATAATCTTAGGCTGCAGTCATATGTACCAGATAAAGCGGGGCGAGACGAGGCAAGGCTATTCGTGCTGTTGCAATTTGACGTGCCACTACAGCGATCAGACGCGACAGTGGTGAACCCGGGTTTTTTTCTGTTGGTGTGTTTTGGTGCGCTTCAACAAGGAGGCAGTAGGAACGCACTGGAGTGATCAGATGGAGACAACCCATCTGTGGCCCATTGCAAACAATTTACTATTGGACTTTCCGAGGTACTTTTTAACTCCGCAGCTTTGGCCAGGCGGTACAGGTTGAGGGTGGGCGCGCGACACTTGCCAGATGTGTCCATGTGATCGCGCCCGTTAAATCTGCCCAGTATTCGTCCCTCTCGTGCGGCTAATTGTGCATGTGATCGGAGCCTTACTGTTCTTTTATCAGTTATCCTATTGTATTGATTGTTGGTCTATGACCGTAATAATAAAATGAATGATAGTTTTTGGGGGGATTATGTGTAAAGGCATCAGGGGGGCTGGGCCAGCAGCAGGGCTAAGGCAGTGCTGCTGAGCAAACCTCCCCAGTGGCTGTAAGCATCCCACCTCCTCTCCTACACCTGACAGGCAGCTACCTGTCCACTGTAGGGGGGAGGAGTATTAGAAGCCACTGTGGAGGCGGGGCTGGCAGGATCACTAAGGCATTACTGCTGGGGCGGGCTCCCTCGTGGCTTTAAGCACCCTGCAACTGCTGCTGCACCTGACAGACAACTGCCTGTCAGGTGTAGGAGGGGAGAGCATGTTTGAAGCCATAGGGAGACTGGGCCAGCAGCTTTGCTTCACCTCACTGCAGCCCCGTAGCTAAGGATTTGGGGGGGAGGGGGCTGAGGGGGGCCATCAGCTAGCCCAGCCTATCGGAGAAGGAAGCTTGCCCGCCCATTCCACGGGTGCTCACCTTGGCGCAGCTCCAGCGTGGCGAGCTCTCAAAGGGGCGGCTAGAGCAGAGCTCCCCCAAAACCGAACCCAGCACCGCCCAGGCAAGGCACGGAGTCAGCCTCCAAAGGGGCAGCTTCAAGAGCAGCTCATGGAGCGGGGCTTTTTTTCTTCTTCATTTTGCTAATGTAGCTGCTCCTGCCCTTTCTCGGCCCAGAGCCGATTGGGGAGCAGGAGGGGTCATGACAGCAAGCCTCCCCCCTGCCACACACACACACACACTGCTATCCCCCAGCCTGCCTGACGAAGAGCTCTCTGGAACTCACAAGTCTGCACATTGCGGGAAAGACCCAGGTTCACCCATGCAGAGAGCGCGACTCTCTCGTCCCTCACAGGAGCTAAGAAGCGAGGGCAGCACCCAATCCATGTAGCCTCCCTGCACTGCCTGGCCCGCTGCTCACTTCTGCATTGCCAGGCCAGGCCCCATTCCATCCAGCCTGGCGGAAGCTGACGCTGAGCCAGGGCCAAACCCTGCCACCCGCTTGTTCACCTGGGCTGAGGCTGGCTTCGCCTTGAGCCCGGCCATGTGGAGCCAAGGGGGAGAAGTAGTGATCGATCAGGGGTGAGGGGGCTGGGGGAGGGAGGTGGACCTGATGATTGGGGGAGGGGCCCGCAAAACCCGTGGGGGGTTTAGCTACAGGCCTGCCTCACAGGCAGTTGACCACTCCTGATTTCCTCAACTGTCATTAGCTCTCTGCAGTCCCCTGAAACTGTTTTTTTTACTTCAGAACACTGAGCTCTGCAGCTGACCAATTAGAGGAGGCAGCAGCCTGGCAGCCACATAGGAATCATTGGGGAAGCACATTTTACCCCTTTTGACCCACTTAGGGGTCAAATTTCTAAAATGCCCTTCTTAGCGAGCATCTACACCATGGTAGGAGTGCTCTCCCCAAATTTGGTGTTTCTAGGTCCAGCGGTTTGGCCTGGGCATTGATTTTACGGTGAGGGGACTTTCTTTTATATATATAGATGTGAGTGTGAGTGCACCTGGAAGCCATGGCAACCTCTGGTGACTGACCCCTACTGGGGGCCTGGAGGATATTCAGAGAGGTGGCTGAATAAAGCCTGCCCCTGACTCCCACCTCTGATATTTCAAGGATGTCTCCCATCCAAGTACTTGGCAAAGTTGACCCTGCTTAGCTTCTGAGATCTGATGAGATCAGGCTTGCCTGGGCTATCCAAGGCAGGGCACCTGTCCAGATTTTGATTGGCACTCCAAGAAATAGTTCAATTCCTAATTTCTCTGCACTTAAACCCAAAGGCTGAAATCCAGGCACAGAAGCCTACAGGTGCATGACCAAGACCTGGGTACAAGATGGGGAGACAGTAGCTCTCTCACAGCTGGCTCCTCCCAGGTTCTCAGTCCTTCACTAATCCCAGAC